TCCTGCGGGATGGCAGAGCCTGGCTGGGCAGAGCCGCGGGCACTGCTCGCTCAACACGGGTGCGGTCCCTTTGCTTGAAGCGCTGCGCGGCAGAGGCAGCCGCATCCCTGCATCCCTGCATCCCTGCATCCCTGCATCCCTGCATCCCTGCACGGTGCCAGCCCTGCTTCCCCCAGCCCAGGCCTGCTGGTGGCACTGCTGGCACCGAGCAGCGCAGTCCTGCCGCCACGGGCTGGGGGAGCCGCAGGGACAGGGCTGGGGCCGAGCCTCCCGGGGACAACGCTAACGCCCGGGTGTCCCTACCCGCCCCAGCTCTGCTCCCTGTGCTGTGTGAGGCTGCGCACAGGGGTCAGCAGGAGCCAGGGGAGCGGACACGACTGCAGGGTCAGGGGATCTGTGCAATAACACATTTGCTGAGTGTGCTCAAAAGCTTCTCTGAAGGCAGGCGTGTAGGATTACAGCTGGTCTCCGTGGGTTTTAATGGAAAAACTCCTGTCGAGTCCCCCAAGGCCAAGCTTTTGCTTTGGGTTTACCGCAGATCGCATTTACTCTTTTACACCAATGCAATTTTCTTGCTCTGTAACGCACAAGGTCATGCTTATGGCATGGATTTTTTATTGTTAAGAAATACTTGTAAATAAAGTTTTCTGACTGTGTCTTGATGGAAAGCGGGAGGGGAACTGCAGAAGAAGCACTAGACCAAGAAAATGAAGGAAACCGATGGGAAACAACGCTTTAAACACAGGACCCAAGTATACTCAGTGTAATGATGCTTTTGTTTATAGAGTACTGCACCAAGCACTTGAGATCTGCATCCCACTTTATTCCATAGCATGAAGCTAGCTGTGACACTGCCTTTGGCGGGTGGGACAGCTGGGGTGAAGTGCAGCTCTGGCTGAAGTCAGTGGGAGCTTTCCCGTGAATTGGGTGGCAGCGGGATCCGGCGACTGCAGACGGCTGCTCCTGCCTTTGCTCACGCGCCTCCCGGATCTGCAGCCGGGGAGATGTGCAGAGGCAAGGCCTGCATGCAGTCAAAGGGTAATGTGATTTGGCCTTACGTGCTGGGAATGAATATGAAAAATGCATTTAAATGTGTACTTTATTTTTTCACTGTCATCAACAGGTACATTTTCACCTTTCATATCCTGGCATTCCTTTGATTTTTTCCTAGTAGCTTCAAGTGAGCTCTCAGCACATCTGCTGAATGCAATCCAGCACATTCAGTCTCAGCATATTTTACCAGACTGGTTTAAATCCTTAGGAAAGCATAGAGCATTTTCCTCCCATGTTCATCTGCTTTCTCCTTGAGAGTAATTAGCTCCTGCACAAAACAAGGAGGGGGGTCTCCTTTTATGGGGAGCCCAGGGACCCGGCGCATCCTCCATCTGCCAGGAAGAAAATGCAACGTGGGATAAACTTTACCGGGACTGATGCACAGAGAAGGAGGAAGCTCTGGGAGAAGCAGGGCGTTGCCTTGCGAACCCTGGTTGCAATTACTGGCTGAGTTACGGGATCAGGAGGCGGGGCCGCGTCCCCACGCGCGGGGACACTGCGATCTCCAGCCGAGTGACGCTGCAGCCCACGGCCGAGCTCTAGAGGAGCTTCACGTTTATTTATCGAAGGATATTGAACGGACTGCCAAAAGGTCAAAAGCCAAATAGAGGTGGTGATGACTGAGCAGTGTGTGCTCCACGTGTGGGGAACCCATAGACTACTGCATGGGGAGATCAGAATTTTGGAGATTTTTTGGGTTCAGGCTGTGAACTACTAGAACAAAAAGCCATTAAAAAGGATATAATCCCAGTTTTGTTTTTAATTATTTTTATTTCCACAAAAAGCTTTAAAAAATGCTCATGACAAAATGTTTTTGGAGACTTTTTTTTCCCTTACAAATATCTAAATGTCTTTTTTTTTGGTATAACTCCATCCATCTCAAGGCCCGGTGTTGCTAGAGCATGGGTGCTATATTGCTATGGAATAGTGAAGGACCACAATCCCAAGCCGTTGGAAGAGCACCAGTAGAAAATCTGGCTCTTTCTTGTCCTTGGCATGGCACTACAAGAAACTTTGGCTCCAAGTCTTTGTTGGAAGCCAAGGGAAAAAAGCACATGAATACAATTGAGAATAACCTCTGAACAACGAGACCTCCTGGGCCCTGATTCAGCAAAGCACTTAAGGCCAGAGCCAATAAAGTGTTTAAGTGCCTCAAAGTTAAAGTACGGCTCTATGGAAGATGGACTAAACAAATTAATTGTCAATACAGGGAAGGAAGTAGCTCCGAACTGGAGTTTCTTCCCCTCGTCCCTGTGTTTTCACTGGAGCCGGAGCGGCTGGGAGCAGGCAGTGTCCCGCGGGAGGCTCCTTCCTCCGCTCCCGCAGGCACATCTGGGTGAGCCCGCGGGGT